TCATTGCTCTATATGTGCGTGTATAGCTTGGGGTGTTAGGGACCCTGAAGCACCGGTGATACCCTGCACATCGACATTATGGCATCCGGGTTGTAAGGGACCCCGATGCATCGGTGGCGCTTTCTGCATATCTTGGGGAGTCAGGGACCCCGATGTTCTCTATGCACCGACCTAAAATCATCTTGGGGTGCCAGGGACCCGGCGACTCTCTCTGCGCACCGACCTAAAATCATCTTGGAGTGTTAGGGACTCCGAATCAGGATTGATACTCTATACCGCAGTTCACCAGAGTCCATAACTGCGAAAAGACCAGTTTTCGTTCTTCGCGCATCTCCAGTGCGCATCTTTGCCCTGATTGGCGATACTCTCAAACGAAGTGAAAAGCGATTAGCAGAGAGCTCGTTGCGTTCTCCCACCATCTTCCAACCCACGCGTCGCAGTTATGGACTCTGGTGAATTGCGGTATACATACCGACATTATGGCATCGGGGTATCAGAGACCCCGTAGCTAAAATGTATGTACGACTCATAGACTTTCTGTAGAAAAATTGAAACCTCTGTAATTTTTGACTCCGACCACTTAGCCGCACAAACGCAACGGTTTTGAGCTGGTCTCAGCGAGACTTTACCAACGACGTATAAAGCGTATCTCTAACTCTAGTAGTTCTCAAGTTGAAAAGTGACACGGACGGACGTCTTTGCGCTTTATATATCTGTATAAGATTTGTTTATTTTTCATATAGTTTAATTCGAACAAACGTCGGAATCTGGCAGGCAACAGATGGCCAAACCTGACAATTCTTATGGAAACTATGCGGAGATTACGATTTCAGTCTATTGGTACTCCTGGTAGCACCGCCAAATACAATGATTATTCAACCTCTATCGTTATAAATATGAATAACATATTTTGTAATTTATAGATTGAAAAACAGTTTTTACCAATCGACCCTTGAAACAAAATAAATCTTGCGAAATACAAAATTACGTTTATTTTGTTTTCGTTGTTCAAGCGTTTTAATTTTTGCTTGGTCACGCGTCTCTCCTAAGCAAAACATTTTTACGAACATTATCGGTTTTCAGTCAAGCATAACGTAACATGATTGGAATAGAATGTTGCGCATTAGAAGCTTCTTCTTTCAAATATAAATTTCGTGCAACCTTCGACTGAGGTCAATTGTGAGAGTCTTTTTCGAATAATCGGTAAAAATTGCCGCCGTAAGAGGAACAATCATAATTCCAAATGGAGCGATGATGTATGGCGAGAAATATTCGAAAATTGCACGTTTCTAATGTTCTACATAAACGTTGTAGGTAAATCTTCTTCCCGTCGACAGGAGAAACAGGCGAACAATGTTTCATTCTGCGGTTCGTTCTCTACTCTGCGTTAGATGACAGATCCCGATTACGACAAATGACTAATGACGTTTATTCCATCATTTGTGAAACGGATTTTACGTTAGCCTGAAACGCGAGCCGACTAGAATCGTTTTACGTAATCGCATATTTGCACGTTCCCACGGAGCATCGTTGGTTCCGCTTCGATTCCCTTCGAATCGAATGTTCTTCTCCGTTCAACTATCACTCCTCTTATTTTAAGATCTCTAACTATTTATAAAGCTTTTATAACACTTCCGTGCCGGAATATATTTATCTAATTTTACTTCTTTCTACCTTTCGATTTCCTGAATATCTAAAAGTAGCTCCATTTATTTCAATCAATTTCCGGACAAATATCGACTTCACGGAATATTCTATTTGTAGATTGTAACTTTAATCGAAGAAACGAGCCGGTGTGTGCGTAATTCGAATCCAGAAGGCTCACGTTCGCAGATTTGTGTTGCAAAATCTATTTTCTGCCGGTATGGCCTTTCCGAACTTTCATCGCCGCCTGATGCAGCAATTTTCCTAGATAGCTCGCGTCAAATAGCGCCGCTTGTTTTTCGGTCTGCCTGTTTGATTTCAGCGTCAGCGTAAGCGAGAAAAAATGTCGTCCGATAAAGGAAACGTATGCAAACACGGAGAGACAAACAGTAGACGAACGTACTCCCATACGCCTGTCGAAACGTGTTCTTTAGCCCGTTAAGATGCAGATATGCATTGGGATAAGGCTGCACAGCCTGTGCTCTTTGCATAATGCACGAGCATCCTTGCGACAGAGGAAACCAGGTTTCTAATGAACCTACGGTCCATGAATTTCAAACTAGCCGCGCCGCGCCGTTTCTTTCAGCCAACGATCTGGTTGCCGTCGATGCAATCGTGATGCAACATCGTTATATATCTATATACATATTTAATAACAAAACTTCCAGCAATGCGTATTTTCTAACGAGCTTCTTTATTATCGACTTACGAAGACCTTTGGTATTTAGCGCACGCGATAACTTGACAAGTACGGCGACAGGAACGTAAATAACTACGATAGAAAAGACTGTGTTCTTTATCTGTTTCCCATTATCTTGTTAATCATCTTCACTGTAATTATTGATCCCGTCCGGGAATCGTTTTAATCGTAACAAAATCTTAATTGGAAGCTTAATAACGTTCATTCGTTTAGAGCACGAAAGACAGCGAAGAAAAGTGGCGATCGATTAACCGGTGGAAGCTACCGCTAATCTGGCGTCGCAAATTTAATAAAGTAATTCAAGAAAATACTAATTTTGTAAGGTATCGAATAGAAGGTTTCGATCGAGAAATGGTTAGAATTGTAAAAAGTTCGATTATACATAGCCCTTTTGCGTAATGAGTTAATTAAACGTCGATCGAATCAATTAATTTCACAGCAATTATTCGAAGCGTACAGAAAACGCTCGCTTAGATAATGTCCAAGGGGTTATCGCGACCCTATGCCAAAAATAGTCGCCTCTCTTTTACTGCCGCGTTAACAATAGTTGTCTCTCTAGCGAGGTATATTCGTGTGCTCGTTTCTCGCCTCGTCGAGTTTGTCGTTCGCAGGAATTACATAATGCTCGTAGCGAATATTGTATACATACCTATGCGATGCACTGAATAATCGCGGCGTTGTCGCGAGGTTGTAAATGCATTAAGGGTCGCCGTGATGGCAATGTCGAACTGGTCGGAACAACGTGCGCGACCCCGCTCGCCAGGTTACGCTCGTCAATTGAAATTCTAAAATGACCCAGTTGTTATTTTTGGCCCGCGAGATTCTGCTATTGCTTGCAGCTCCTCTATCCTCTGATAAGCTCCTCTATCTTCTCGCCAGCGTCGTTGGTTTCTTCAAAAGATATTGGCTTAATACATTTCATCAACAGTGACCTTAATCGAGCGATTCTGCGACGACCGCCTTCTTGTACGCTGGGTCACTTTTGCGGGGCGGCAACGAACGCCTGAAAGAATTCATTCCGCGATGTAACATCGCGTATGCATAATAGTCTAGCTCCTGATTTGAAAATATAATGGCGCTTCAGAAAATGCGCTTTATTCTGACGCTAAACGAACGACTAGTAGTCTATCGATCTTCATCGTCGAGCTTCCGAGTGGACGTCGAAGAGTCAGCGTCGGTGGTCGTTCGTCATTCCGCGGAGAAACGAGGAAAGAATAAGATTTCAATGAGACGGACGTGCGAGCATCGAAAGCACGCTGTCAAATGTACGAAATATTGTTATGCAGAGTGCAGAGAAGGTCTGCGGCCAACCCTGACACTGTTTTCTCTAGGAAGCACACCGCTTTGAATTAATATCGCCTGACATTGCTCCGCCTGTAAAGTCGAACTGTAGGAAACGTAATTACGTCGACCTTCCGTGATTCCCGACCGAGGAACCTCGATGGTCGATCATTCCATTCGTTGGTCGGTTCAAGATGAATGACTGGTTGATCGACAATGTCATTTGTCAAGTCGGCAGCATGAATCGTCTTCTGTCGTCGCGCATGAATTACGTCGTCCAATATCGAATTCAACGTCAAAGCATTCCTAATGAACCTGTTCGAAAAAGGTTGAAACGAAGCGACGATACGGAAAAGAGGAAAACTTGGAGCGATTCGTCTAGGTCTGTGGACTATGACAGATAAAGCTGTCAATGGCGTAAACGGTCCTCCAAGAAAGGACATACGATACAATTGTCCATTGTGCCCGCTGCTCGACCTTCCATCATCGCGGAAAGCGTACCGAGGAAAATACTTAAATTGCACGTGCCCGTCACGAAAGCGACACGCTAATTAAGCTCCGCGGAACGGAATTAAGAAAGATTACCGGTGTCGTCTCGTCTCGCGTTTCCTGCGCCTCTTCAAACGCCGTTCCAGCAAAGATACGGAGACACACGAAATCCACCCTAGAGTTTCAGCTCAAGGCTGTCGCGATCAATTTAACGTAGGATTTCTCCCGAATAACCGTGAACTAGTCTCGTAATCGAACCTTGTTTCACTTCCCCGTTATCTAAATTCGTTTTCGTCCTTCTATCGATCACCGCTCTAAAAAGCTACCCAGTTAACAACGTTTCGCAACATCCCTGAAGCGAACTTGCAACATGGGAGGCAGGAAATCGAACGATCGTTAGCGTTCGTTATCGCGATCATTAGAGATTAATGGAAAGTTAATGCAACGAAATAGGAGGTGCATGAGTCACCTCGGACAAAAGTTAAACACGTTTAGGGTGCCAGCATGGGTGCGGCCCGTCTATTTCAATGTGCCCAGTGAATCGGAACGGTTCGACGATCGATAGAATTTGATTGAAAATCTCCAGCATCGGTCAACGCATAGGAAAGACCGTTCGCAAACGGAGAACTGCTGGCAAAGTAGCAAAGGGAGACTCCGGAAAGTATAGGGAGGAGAAAGGGTCGAGTAGGGAGACAGGAAAAGTGTATAGGAGAGGAATCGGTCGGCTCGACGGTCGTGACCCGACTGCACGGGTCCGGTCTGGCCTGGCAGAACGGTTCGGGGGCATAGTGCGCGTACGGAATGCTTATTTGCCGATCGGCCGAGCCGAACCGACTGGAGCGTGCCGCTTGCGCCTGCGCCGCCGCACTATAACTCGCTGATTTCGTCTGGAGCTTATTTATTTCGAACCTGAAACTCGCCGCGTCAACCACGTGCTCCACGATCGCAGTTGCGAGAACCCGACAGACTGTCTTTTTCCCTCTGCGATATCATCGATCGCGTTGCGTGACCCAACGCGGCCACCGTTCATTTCAAACAGAAACAGGATAAAGGGAAAGGAAAAAAGAGAACGCGGCGATAAATAGTAATTAATAAGAGAAAATAGAATTCGTAAAAATAAATCGAGGAAACGTTCAAAGAGCTTTTGAAATTGTTTCTTTACAGAGCTACGAGTACGTCATCGGTGCATTGAACTTACTTCTAGAATCTACCACGATACCGCGTACACTCACGACCCGAACTTATCAATTTTTCCTTCGTTAGCAGAATTTAAGGGGAGTCTGTTTCAGTGTTGAGAGTGCGACAATCGGTTCGGTACCGAAGAAGAAATCACTCTTCTATCAATTCCTGTGATACAGTTCGTCAGTATCGTATTTCTGCTGTGATCTGTGATTGTGATAACGATATTTATTCTTATACGAAGACCGTTAGATTTATTCCACTATCGATCTTTTCCCGCTACGATCACCTTTCACGTTCGCATCGATTATAGAGGAGCAACGCATCTATAGGTGAGTAGAATCTGAAAAGAAAAGAAAAAAGCAGCGCACCTTTAGCATTGGCAGCTGTTTTCGTTCGTCCCACGCTTGTATTCCATGCACGACGTTTATGCGCGTCGAATGTTATCTGTTTGCCGAGAAGTCGTAATCTGACCGCGGTTCGCATCGGCTCTTGTTCCGAATGCAATCAAATGCAAACTTTCAATGTTTACACCAGTCGACGGCGCCTAAAACGGCGCCCACGAGTCGGGCCCTAAATTCGAATGACTGTTCGCGGACGTTGCAAAAAAAATTCATACGAGCACCAAGTGACTCACTGGGAAGTTCACGGAACTCGTTCGTTCAAAATTTGAGGTATGCGCGTACGGTCCAAAGAGTGCAACTGCACTCGACTCCGTTGACTCTCGATTACGCCTCGAGCTACGAAAATAACTGCAACCGATCATTCCTCTGCTTTTAACTTCCTAACCGATTACGTTTTGTTTCCGAGGAAAATCGTGACTTAAACATCGCTCCGAAAATTTGCATCCGTGAAACGATTGATGGATCTTCCTAACCGGTTACGTTTTGTCTCCGAGAAAAATCGTGAATTAGATTCCGCTCCGAAAATTCGCTTTCGCGAAACGATCGGTGAATGAGTGGCGACGAACTGGCCAAATTCTTGGCGCTTCTTTTTCGCGATACTCGTTCGTTAGAGCAGACAGAGGTCCTAGACGAAAAAGTGATACGACCGCGAAACAATCTCGAACTCGGTTATCGTGGAAACGGATCGCGTTCCCGGCCAACTTTCCAACAATAGCCGTTTACGACGAGCACACACTCGAGCCTAGAAACGCCGTGGTGGAAAACGGACCTCTTACCGGAAGCTGTTTCCAACGGGTCGCGATAAATGATCGCTCGCGAACGAATGTACGTTAATCTTGCGCTACGACCGCGATAACGACCGGTCTCGATCACCAGTAATATGTTATCGGATAGCTTCAGAAGAAGTTAACGATTAATAGTGCTGGACGCGCGTTATATATTGTACAGTTTATGAGCTGAGCGTTTTCAATGTCGAACGATAAAGCAATTGTAATAGCCTGTGTGTTGATGCACGATGCTCGTGTGGAAAACACATTATTGCACCCTGACAATTCTTTTTAAATTTTTTGTCGGAAAAATGCAGTGCACGCGATGTTTCAATCGCGAGTAAAGATGAGCCGCACATCTCGAGGTCGATGCTTCGACCGAAATAATCCTTCGATGCGCGCCTCTCCCTGGAACGAAAAACATTAACAAGGACACCGATTTAATTATAATTAAAACACACTTTACTAACGACGTGTTTACGTCGGAATCACCCACGAGTGCCTCCCCGTCTCCTTTTTATTTCCGCTTTATGAAAATCAACCAACGTAATTCTTTTTTTCCTTCTTCTTATCGATCAAATTGATTTATTGTGTAAAAAACACGAACGGAAGCGGATCGTTTAAAACTCGCGAGATTTATTATGCGAGGATCGACGTTGAAGCGTTGGACACGTGGACGATTTCAGTTCTTGATAGCAGCTGCAATTGCTATCTGTGCGATTCTATTTATCGAAATAACATGGTTCATTTATCTTTTTCGATTAGTACGCCACGGGGTCTGTTCCAAAAGTAATGAAACATGATTTCACTTAGCATTTAAGAAGCATTTAACTTAAATTGGCAATCTTGACGAAAATATAGGAGTTATTGTAGTTTCTACATCTTCTTATCGATGCGTTTAGTTGATAAGTAACGTAAGGATAAATGTCCGATAAAGAACATTATCACGAACGCGTATATCATGTAATTGGTAGTAAGAGACACGCTATCAACGAATGTGTCCAGTATGGAGAAAATTGTAGAGCATCACGGGTTTCGTTAATTTTGGAACAGATTATATATAAATTCGCGCGATGTAGGCTGCCGGCGAATCTGCAGTTTTAATCGATACCGTCACGTGTTGACTTTCCTATTTTAACAGTTCTCCGTTGGAGTCAGCCACCGATCGATTTCCTTGAGAAAATAACGATTATCAGCCCACGCGACGAAACTCAGTGGCCCATGTGAATGAATTAAAAATCTGCTCGATCGACCGCCAGAAAGGGGAAATACCTCGGACGATCTATCGTTCCAAGATATCGTCTATCGTGTTCTATGAACCTAAATCGATGAACGGTAGCGATAACGCGCAATCGATCTCGATAAGGCTGTAGAAGGGGGAAGAAGGTGTAAAAAGCAAGAGGAAGAAGATCAAACTCGTTCAATTGTACCTGATCATCGGGAGGAGGAATTCGCACGTGAAAGCAAGAATTCGTGGCTTCGGAGCGCGCGCAGCCGAAGGAGAAGAAAGCGAGAAAGAAGTTTCTCGAAGGTTGGTTACCTGTTCGGCTACTACTGTCGGTGTTGCCCGCTCGGTGCTGACACTCGTCGTCTCGTGGAGGGAGAGATTCACGGTAAAAAGGGAGCCCGATCAGCCTGTAACATCGTCCTGAACCGAGGATATCTGTCTGTGTTCGCGTAGGTCGCGGTTCTTGTGACGTAATTGGTTTTTCTTTTTCTTTCTTCTGCATAAATCACAGTCGATTCAGCAGTGACCAGGAGATTCTTCGAAACGTTTACTCGTCCGAACTACCGTGAACGAGATCGAAATAGCTGGGACCATAAATAGCTTGCCGATATTCTCGGGCATTCCCTTCACGCGTTTCATCGAGCCACCAGCGAAGGATTTTCCATTCTCCTTTGATAAACCTTGATCCGTCGATCTCTATAGAGGGACCTTGATTTTCAAATTGGTCAAGAAAGTTCCTACCGGCGCGCTTTTCAAATTTCTTCCCTCTGACATAGTACAAGTAGATATAAATTTCTAAACGGCTCTCTTTCGATTAGAGAATCGTTGATTAGTATAATTTTATACGAACGACGATAAAGGAAAAAGATTTTCGTAAGCGAATCGTGTTGGAAAAGAAAACGCGGCAAGCAGAGGAACAGAGAGAAGTTTCTCGAAGCTTGTTTTACTGCTGTCTCTGCTCTAGACCCGCTAGAAAAGAAGGAACACAAGCAGACAGGGAGAAGGAACAGAGGAGCTATACAAGATAGAAGGAGACATCGCTGAGGGAAAGAGGAAAAGAGATAGAAATAGCGGGAACCCTGTAATCTGGAACAGATTTAGGAGACTCGCGTGCTCCATTTTGGCCCGGTTCAAAAGGAACAAGAGTCGACGAAGAGAAGGGAAAAGCGAGGGGGAAACCGAGGAAAAGGGCCTGGGAAAGAAAGCGGGAAAGCAATAACGTTGAATCAGTCTCTGAAAACTCGTGTGGAGAAAGGACGAAGGAGTGAAACGACGATAGACATTGGTGCGAGTCAGAAGAGAAAGGGATTTGAATAAAGGTGAAAAAAGAAAAATAGAGAGGAAAAGGATACGCGAAGCGATACCGCTGGTTGTCAAGATGGCAAAAGGCAAATCGATACAAGAACGACGGTCGAACGATGTGTTCGACGAAGAATCGGTGGCTGTTAGATCGCGATGGCGAAATTTAGCCGCCTTCTGGGTTCTAGGACTTTGCAACAATTACGGATACGTAGTGATGCTTAGCGCAGCTCACGACATTCTTGAAAGTAAATTCGGCACCACGGTAAGTAGGATGAGGTGTATTATACCGGCTGGCGAATCAGCTTCGCTGTTAGTCGTTTCGTGATAAAAGGTTCGCAGGCAAAAGGGAACGGTTTTATGCTCGTTTTACACGCGATCATTGTTCATGATCTCCTTTTTACCTGAATCGAACGATAAAAACGATAGCTGCTCGTGTACGTAGATCGCGCAGGTAATACTCGTAAGCAAGAAGTACATACCGATGAAACTGAATACGCGTGCAATGTTTAAAAAATGTTTAAAAAATGTTTAAAAAATTCATAGTCATTTTTATCTACATCACCCTGTATATGTAGATGCAACTTTAGAGCCGCATAGAGCACGGACTAGAATCGCACGATTATAATTAACGGTACCGTAATGCCATATTCGTAGAATGTCGGACGAGTTAATCCGATCGGCCGCGTGCTGCCTCGTTTCCGGTAACGATACGCAGCGTGACGAGGAAAACGCTACTTTGATCCTGATTCTGCACGAGATAATTTTTCATTGTCTGCACCGTTGTTTCGCTTCGTTGATTTTCTTGTCGGTTATAAATATTCTTATCGATTTCGACTGTTTCGTTTCGTTGCAGATCGGTTCGTTTCTTCGCCGATCGGCGATAGTCGAAAGATTGCGAAATCTACCCGCAATCGTCGAAAGTTTTCCGAGATTTTTATGTTTGCCCGCCACGATAAACCACAAAAGAGACGAGATAATGGTGTGTTTCTATGGAACAAATAAACCAGTTCGCTGAATCATCCGACTCTATTATAAAACCGTGATTAGGTCCTCGTATCGATCGAATTCCTGATTGTCATACGATTATGCTCCAATTGCCATGGAACACCGGTTGAGCGATGGAAAAATTTGCACAAACGATCCGATCGAACTTACTGGATACGAAACAATTTAGAACGTTATGGTTATTGGTCGAATAACACTCGTAGCTCCTTCTTTTTCCAACTCGTGATCAGCTGAATCAGTCTTTACAAATGTTGCGGCACATTATTGGCCGATTCACGCCCACGTTAGCGCACACTGTTTTAAATGTATTCGAGCAAACGATTTGCGACGTGGAACGGACACGCGTTTCGTTTTATTCGCTGACTCGATTCGGGTCAGCCAAATAAGGAAGCGTCTTTTCGTAAGCGCCTACCAATTGAACAACAATCTTGATGGGCGTCGTGGCATTTATCACGTTAATAAATAACTTCCCGCGTCATTATTAGTAAACTCAATATTTTGCAACGCCTTATTGCCGATTTGCAATACAATACCGTTAATCATCTTTTGTTACGTATGAAAAGGAAGGTAAAATTGCAACTGTCGTAGATTCCACGAAATGTACCTACACTCGTCAAAGTGTCACAGCGATAGAACAACTGTCCTTTCTTCTTTGTCCGTATCCGGAATAATCATTTTATTGTCTCTAGCGTGTCATTCTTTGTGTCGCCGCGTTATCGTGCGAATTAACTAGAGCTCCGTTATAATGAGCGATGATTACGAGCGACTGGAAACGAAGCGTCAAGTTCACGGGTATTTCGCCGTTACCGTCTCGTCTTCGAGATCTTTGGTAAATTTTGAACCTAAAATTCGAGATAAGCTGTTTGATGATTCAATATTTACTCAAACGGAACTAAAGCGCGAGTAGATTTCCTAGGAGAAAATAATTCGAATTTAGTTCGACGTAACATCTGATTAAGAGCACTACAATCGATCTAATCAATAAGAGAAAATCGTCATTCGATTGGAAAACTGTACAGTAGTAATACGTTACAGTTTAATTATTCCGCATCTCGTTTGATGGTGTTCCGCTCAATTAACGGCGTCGTTTAACGACGTTTCTCGTGATCATCCGCGATCGTGATGCAAACAGAACGAAGACAGTAGCATTGTTGTGCAGTAGACGAAGTAGCGAAGCTGCGACCAGTAGAGGTGAGGGTTAAAGGGGGAAGAAAATTGTTAAAGCAACGAACAATTAACTTGAATTACGTCTTCCAGTCGGAACAGATTCTCGTGTGCGAGAGGAATTCTCGTTATGTCATCGACAAATCTATGCATACTCTATTCGCAATCGTGTAATGGACTGCCTTCTCCCACTCACGTTCATTGGCGTACCTAAGACTTTTGTCTAGGGTGCATTAGCTTCCTTAATTTTCAATATTTATTTCTATTTAAATAACAGTTTACGATTTGACGAATTTTCTATCGCTTATTCCAATAATTCTATGGGGACCAATTTGAGTTTTAGGGTGCTAGGCCCATCCTGATTCTTAGCTAGTTACGCCAATGATCCCATCTCGCTTGCGAGTCTTTCAACCGCGATACGAATCGATTGCGTAAGTCGCGAACAGCCACGGAAATTAATATTCCGCTCGTTCAAGGTGGTAATGTCCGTGAAAATGGATACCAACGTTCAATCATTTCCGCCTTGCGAACCGAATTATGGATGAATTATCGTAGACGAATAACAGGCGAGGCTGATTTTCCGGTTTTACGTAATACAGTATATTTCTGCTGTTCAGTATGGAAATGGTGCATTAATCGATCATTTTCTTTTTTTTCCCCTTCGTCTTCGTTTCCGTTGTTGATTAAGGAACCTGTCATGGAATTTATGAGTAATACTACTGTCGAGCCGTTGAACACCACAGGGATGAGATCTTGCAACACTCTGTCCACTGGTGCTATATTATTGGCGGACATATTGCCCTCGTTGGCGGTGAAAATGGTCACACCGTTCCTGCCGTTTTACGTACAGTGAGTATCATTTATTTCTTCCTTTTTCCTTTGCTGTTCAATTACATTTTCGTTGCTATTTTCGTACTTCATCCATCGCAGTGTAACATTTGCATAATCAGCCGAGATATTTGTCTGGAATTGAAAGCCAGTATACGAGCACTGAAAAACAACAATGTGATCGATGAAAGGTCGAGAATATTGTTGAGTTCGAACCAGATAAGCGGCACCGTTCGGATAACGAACGGTGACAATTAGTCACTGGTAGACACGATAGGATTCCTTATTGTTTTCCAATGAATTTCACGTCGACCAGATATTCAAACATCGAACGTCGCTATATCTTATCGACGGTATCTCCGAACAGTTTACATAGATTGTTCGAGAAGTAACGATTAAATTAGCGAGAGTGATTGAACGATCGATTCCTAAAAAATAAATCACAGAAAGCTGATCCCAGAAATTCTCAAGAAATTCAAGCATATTTCAGCTTCGAATCATTTTGAATTTTATTCGAATCGTAATAAAATTCGAAGGGATTCGAAGGATTTTCATATCCCATCGTTAGAAACGCAAACTAGAAGCATCTATTTTTCCCCACAGACGAATTTAGAAGAAAATTAACATCATATATGCTTCTCGTCGCATACATTTTCCTTCAATACCTTGCTTTCTGTGGGCGATGATAACCGCCATTACGCACGGGGGAAATGGATCATCTCCGGAGTCGTGTCCCTCCGCGGGCACGCCGCTATTTCCCATGAATGAAAACGCTAATCGATTAATCGAATCGTTAATTACAGTGCTCGACTGGCTACCTGTGTGTTATTTTCCGCTGCAGGATTCCTCATGGTGTCGTTGAGCACTACTGAATGGCTCGCCATTATGGGCGTCGTTGTAACGTCAATCTCTTCCGGTTTGGGAGAAGTTACTCTGCTGAGTTACAGCCACCAGTACCCTAAGTAAGTATCATTATTCATTCAATTCTATAGAAAAAACGTAATTTCTCGTGAATCGTTTCATTGATCTCTTTCTGTCTTTTTTCTTAACGTCCATCGGGTACGCACGAATTTTAGGCATGATCTTTTTCTTTATATTGTAATTTCATGCTCCGATGATGCACGTGGTGAACACATCGTATGTTTCGTTCATACTTTCTGTTTCATCTAGCGAACACGATAATAATTGATCACCTGTGTGCCTCTTTGATCTTACCGATGCTCCGGGATCATGGCGTGCGCGCGAGAAAGCAAAATATAAATGAGAGAATGTAGAAAAAATGAGAGAGAGAGAGAGAGCAGGTAAATTGAAGAAAGTAGAACAGAAAAATAAAAGGATTAAACAGATACGATGTAAAGTCTATTGATGCAGGTATTATAGAGGCAGCCGCGCACTAAGACCGCAATATTGACATTTAGACAGTTGTTCCAGAAAAAGTAGCGATAAGATAATGCAGACGGCAGATTGGCCTTCCATCTTTCAAAGTAGAAAAACATAATAAACTGTAATAGAACTGGTACGAAAATAAGATAAAGTATAAAAAAAAAAAAGGTACAATACGGGATTACTGAAAAACTCGCGAGCACGAGGTACGTCTGTACTTATGTGTAATAACTGTTAATCACAATTCGTTCCTTCCACCTTTTTGTTTTCTATTTCTCCGTCATTCTTTCTCTACTAATTATTAACAATAACTGTCGTTGTAAAGAGTTCACCGAAAGTAGCTTGCGCGAATTAAATAATAACACGTGTTTCTGAAGAATATATAAGACTAGAAGAGATCTCGTTCCTTATTTTATATTTTTCTTTTTCTTTTTTTTTTTATACCGTGTGGAAGTGAAAAGTTGGTTAACGAGATGAGATACATTTGATGCTTTCAAAATGGCACACCTTGACGAACCTGTATTCCTTCCTTTAGCCGACTTGTCATGTTTGCACGGTAGATGGTTGACCTAGTCAGACAATTACACTGACAGCTGAACGCCGAATATCCGCTGTTAATCATTGTTATTGGCCGTCATTGTCATTAATTGAGAGCGATTCATTGTTTCGCAGACAAGTAATAGCGACATGGTCTTCCGGTACTGGAGGCGCCGGAATAATTGGCGCGCTATCGTATGCCGCCCTCACCACGTGGTTAAGCAACGAAGATACATTGTTACTTATGTTAATCATACCGATCATACAAGGATTCACGTTCTGGTTGGTTCTGGTTCATCCGCCGCAGTCCAGTATACCGATCACTAAGAACGGTATCGACAGTCAAGAACACATCATTGAGGTTCCTAGGAAGAGCTTTAAAGAAAAGATCAATTTGGTACCTGGACTGCTGAAATACATGATTCCTCTCGGGCTCGTGTACTTCTTCGAATATTTCATTAACCAAGGATTGGTAATGCCTTTTTGTTTCACGCGTTTACGTAAAATATTTCTCTGCTTCTTTGATTCCTTTTTTTTTTTAAATTTCTTTACTTTCTTTAACTTGCCTCTTGCATTACGAAATTATAGAGTATGAATATGATTTAGCAGTACTCATCAATCGTGTGTAATATTAATTTTTCAGTACGAACTCATCGAATTCGATGGAATCTGGTTAACTCACGCGGCACAGTATCGTTGGCTTCAAGTGGATTATCAGATCGGTGTATTTATTTCAAGATCGTCCGTCAATCTCGTTACGATTAACAAAATCTGGATCATGGCTGTCTTACAGGTACATGTCCGATTAAAGATGTTTACTCATGCTGCGTACCATCGAATGGAAACGTACAAAATCCTCGATTTCCATGTCAGTGTGTACATATCATGTAAATACGATGTATCTTGTTTGTTTTAGTTTATCAACGTTATAATTCTGTTGTTCGAGACTTTGTATTATTACATCCCAAGCGTGTGGATTGTGTTTGCGTTCGTTTTATGGGAAGGCCTTCTCGGTGGTGGAGCATACGTAAACACGTTCTATCGAATGTCCACCGAGGTAACGTATTCGTATTTTCATAAATTTATCATCAATACTTTTCACTAGCAGAAGATGAATTATTGACACTGATATTTTTATTTTTTTCTTCTTTTTCACAGATTCCAAGAGCCGACCGAAAAATCTCTTTAGGAATCGCCACGATGGCCGACTCGATTGGAATCGCACTGGCTGGATGGTTGTCCATGCCCGTTCACAATTCCATTTGTAGGCTGCCACAACCGACCCGATTGGGTAGCTAGGAGAGATCTAACGTATAGTATTTAACGATGATCATGTGGATAAGCATGACCATGAACCACGCCGTGAAACACAAAGAGTTATTATTTATTTACCGATACGTGCTCACGGCAACGACAACGTTATTAACGTAGTGTACACGTTAACTTCGTCCATTTTTAGCGTGTGACAATAAATTTAATACCTCCGTTCGGGACTACATCGACGCCGATAATCGGTCATCGTTAGAGAAAGGAAGAAATAAAAAAGATACGTTAGAGTCTCTTGAACTTGAATCACGAACGGATTCGGTCAAAGACGGAAACGTAGAAGAGGCGCATCGAACAACGATGTTCCTGAACGTAAATTCAATTGTCTAGGATATAAGTTTTGATCGTTTTAAGATTTATTTGGTACAAATATTTAAAAGACTAGGAACAGGATTATCTTAACAACCGGTTGCGTATAGATCACGTTCGTTTCGCTGTGCGTTTCAAAACGAGCTCGAAATTCGCGACAGAGCAACGATCATGATCGATGATCATCGATCGCGGAATAAAGACGTCTCGATCTTCGATTTCGCGTTTGCTGATCAAATTTCAGCTGAATGATGCACTCGTAAACGCGACCGCGAGTCTCTGGCTATGGCTACACGTGTATGTATGTACATGGGTTTTATACGTATTTTTAGCTGTTAGGTTTAACGTCGTGTTAACGTCGTTCGTTCGATGATAAGAACGACACCAGTATTTCTCTCTCTTTTTTTTTTTTTAGTTAGCATTTTAGGTGTATTCGACGAACAAGTTCGATTTACGACACACGTTTGCCCACACGCGACTCAGATTTACACACACGCATTCTTAGCCGGTCACAAGATTTCGTATAAATGCACCGATAAGCAACTCGTGCCAATGATTTTCATCGAGTTATTTTCTTTTTTCTTCGAGTACAGTTCCTTTGTACGAAGAAAGGACAGAAGACGAATAACTCAGCAAGCGAAATGTCAAACATTCCTCGCCAGAAAATTGTTCGAACACGCAAAAAAGTATTAATTGCAAGTAATCAAATCGCTGAAAATGTAGGATCAAGAATTTTGACGATCGTGCGTTATTCGAACGGTCCGACACATTCTAAGTAAAGGTCCAATCTTTCTTTCTTTCACTTTCTTTTTCTTTTTTCTAACAAAATAATTCGACTTTTCCTAAATACATATTGTATATGTGATATATCGATAATACTGTTTCCTACATTGATTGTAATATTATTATATATATATAAATATTGTTTGTTAAGCCATAATATATATTTGTCGTTGTGGAATTGTAACTGCTCGTGACGCGTTCAAAAAACGAATTGTATAGTTGCGATTCGCCGTTTTTCTCAATTATGTTCTATTGTATTTTAGTTTCCTCTTTGTTCTTTCTTTATCTTTTCAAACGCAACGAATGTAAAGTAAGCGTGAAACACAAGCAGGATCGATTCATTGTTTGGATAAATTGTAACATTTGTTGTGACTACGTTAGAAATAAACGCAAAATACTTTTTCAAATTTCTTGCTGTTCTCTTGCATTCTTTTACCTGATACTCGAATGAAGGTCGGCAAACTACAAGTGGAAGCGTAATTCGAGTAGCTAGGAACTGTGTTTCTCTTTTCAAAAGTGCACCTCATCGATTCTTCGTTTCGCATTCAAACGTTTTTAATTATCACTTCGTGCCGACACAAGCATCTTCCACGAGTATACTTTCAGAATAATACTAGGTAATTGAATTGATCGAATCAATTCCGTCTAAACCTAAACGTACCACAAGATCTTTTGATATCAGTCGCTCGTATTGTCTCGTACTAGCTATCGTACGATTGTAACCCTTCTTTGGATTTTCAAGTTCAATTTCATAGACTGTTTAGGCCTTTATTCAGTTCAAGTAATTTGTTAATTTGTTTTACAATATTCCAAAGGCTCCATACATTTCAAAATAATTTTATCCATAATCCGAAGAAGGGTTAAATATCGTTCTAAGCCCTAACGTTAAAAATCAACGTCCCCTATCATCCTATAAATGGCACATACACACGTTGGACGTTCTGTAAAAAACAATTAGAAAGAATAACTTTTGATTGTTGGTTTGCACGCGATCACGCGCATCGTTCTAGGATCAGTTTGCCCGATTCCTCGTACTCCTGTCGGGACAACCACATTTGTTGGAAGGATCCAAGGGAGCTGAGGATCGATCCACCGATCCAGGCGCCGTAACGACGCTCGCTCGGACTGTTCGCGCTGATTATTTTCAGTCTCATACTCTGCGAAACAATATCAAACTGATAACCCTAGAATTCGAGCTGTTAAACGAAATATCATTGACTCTTCCTCCTTGAGAATTCGAAATTAACCAATCGCAATGAAAACACTCACCGGAGGTGTTTTGCTCGCTAAATCTCGATTCAGTCTTTCACTGAAGCCCTGCAGACAAGAATTGCCACCGGTGACAACCACGCTCCCGTACAGGCTCTAAATTAACAGAGATTTCATTCGGTCAGCCTTTTGTCGAATTCGTTGCGTGGTCGACAGAAATAGAAAGACTCTTACGGGTCTGATATCTATGTCGCACATGCCGACGCTGGTCGTGACCAGTGGGCCAACGCCGAGGATGCTGGCGCCTACACCCTTCACGTTGCTTGGGTCGAACAGGGCTTCGGGAATCATCAGTCTCACCGAACCGAAATCGTCGTTGTATCCGGTCGGAAACTCGTAGTGTTTCATTGGCAAGGTATTGGCAACGTCTTCGTCGTACGGGCTATCGGATACTTGGAGACAGTTCATTTGAAAGTCTTGCAAGAGCTCGCGAACCATGTAGCTTAACCAGGAGGACGTTGGCTGAGGACCTGGTCTTCTCGTCCATCGTGGGGGGTCTCTCTCACGAACCACATCTGAAAAATGTTTGTTACGTTAGAAAAATGATGGGCTTTGATTGTTCGTTCGAAAGATTCACTCGTTCGAAATACAAATGAAGGATGTTATGACCGACAAAAATGAAGCTATTAATAGCAAGTTTCGCATAAAGACTTGACGACTAAAATCTAAATCTAAATCATAATTTAAACGCTCTTTGAAGGAAATTCAAGGCCTTCGTAAGTGCATCGGTGGAGCGCGTGTGGCAAAGGCGCACGTTGCGCGCGTTGAATGCATGCAATCAACGTATTAAGACTCAAGTGCTCTGCACACAGCGCGTGTTCATCGGGTCAAAATGTACGCTGAAAGGATTAACTGCTCCCTTTTGTGTCTTAATAGCCATCGCGTTCTCTGACGCTCTAAACATTCCCTTTTTAGAGCGCGACAATACACGGTTCGCGTCAATTGAAGTCAATATTTGCATCAATACTGGGTAACTGTCATTCGAGTTGCAATTTTCTATCCTTTGTTTGCCGAACGAGCGAGCATCGTTTATCGTTTATGAAGAACAGAGCTGATTTGCCTTTGCTGGCGACCAAACAGGCGGGCGATAGTTCGATTTCCTTCTCCTCGAAGAATTGCCTGCATTGCATCGTGATGAAGTCACCGCCCAAAGGACTTTTCACGATTCCTTGAGTGATCACATAACCGTCGTGCACCGGAACTGCGCTCGTGTGAGTTGCACCGCTGTCGACAACCATAGCCGTCGATCTGCCGTTCGCGTACGCGGCTAAAACAGCGTTCTTGCAGATGTACATGGCCGGAACGCTGAATTTCTCGAACATCAGTTCCAACAGCTTCTCCCGTTTCAACCTGGTGTTCCATGGACATTCGGTCATCAGGATCGGGTGGTGTTCCGGAAGAGCGTGAAGACGTTGCTTGTAGGTATACTCGGTTAGACGCTCGAACATGTCCCAGTCGTCGATCATGCCGTCTTTCATCAAGCTAACTATCTCCATATCTGCTAGAAATAATAATTGAAAAAATAGTGTATTTTTCTGGTTGAAATATCAGCCTCGGGCGAATATACCAGCAAAGTGTTAGAGCAATCACGAACGAGGAATTCAATCTCGGCATTGTGGAGAAATCAAAGTTAAGCGATGCTGACTCAAACACTCAACTTGTCGATTCTTGAAGGAATTTCGTTTGTTTTTTCTGTTAGATGGAAATCGCAAACACGTGGCGAGACTCAAAAGGCAACCGAACAGGTTTATTTATCAAATTAGTAACATTCTAATTTCTATTTATTGGAGATACAGAGGAAACAACGAAGAAAAGAAATTCCTCTCGTTCAATTTGCCACGCGTTTTAGCACATTTTCGCACGGAAAATATTTCTTCTTAATATTACTTTTATAAATTGTACTTTTGTTTATAGTTGCTGTTTTGTATTTGTACACTTTCAAAATATAGAAATATATATACCATGACACCTGCTACAGAACGTTACACATTTTTAATTAAATCATAGCTCCAGGGGAAAAGAGGTGGAAAGAAGAAAAGATAATCGCATTTCTACTGATAGGATTATGCTTGAAAATCATCGTACCCTTCTTTCGTACTTGAATGGCCGTGACATCGATGTTGTAGTGCTTCTTGACGGTCTGATTGCCGTCCGGCGTTTCAATGGTGTCCTCCCATACTCCAAGGTTGGTCGGTATTTCAGCCTTCGGCGTGTCCTCACCGCCATAACCAACGCGTAGGCTCTGGTGTCCAACGTCGAAAATTATAGCACCAACCTCGTCTGCGGGTAAAAGCAAACGTTTGATGAAATTCTCCGCTCGTCCAAGTTTTTTTTCCCTCTATTTCGCAATAAATGGTGGACCGCGTATCACATACCTCCGCCGTAGACACCACCGCTCATAGTATCTGAGAGGAACGGAACGTCGGCGCATGCTCAGCAACCCTGGTTCGACCTCACCAAAGGGGTCCATACCCCGTTCCCACCCCCGCACTCGTATATCGAGGATTCTGCGAGCCACCCTTGCTCCTGCATTGCTCCTTTTTGCATACTCCAATCGACGATCGGCAGACGAGGACGAAACGCGATCGATCGTCACGTCCGCGGGATACTCTTCACCGATTCAAGCGGAAGCTTCGTCTGCGACGATTTATTTCGTCAGACGCGACAGGGAGGTTGCAATTAAAAATGATTAAAGGACACGTACGCTTGAAGATAGAATTAAAAGATCAGAGAAAAGAATTTACCAACGCATAATTTTGAAAATGATATTCTAATTTCCGAAAGGTGTAGCTTTCTTCTGTCAATTATCGAGGGGTGAGTTATCGGGAAGAGGACGAGTAATCGTGAAACAAGCGGTCCCGTTATGGAATTAGTGTTGTATATTTTACAAAGTAAATAGAATATAAACAATCTAAAGTCGTCTAAAACACAATAGTACGAATTTCGTGGTAAATCATTCTCATATATTATAAAGTATACGATTTGTCAACAGATCGATATCTCTTCATTCGTAGCCACCGGGGTTAGCTCGCGCCCGTTGATCCCCCGGCGGTTCCGACAATAACGAGAGAGCACTCAGACTCAAAAATCATCGTCACGTTGCCGAGTGAACGATCGATTATGGTTGTACAGTGAAACTGATTCGATGACAACACATGCGTATAGACTCGGTGGGTGCGTTTTTTATTTTTCCTTAACGACAATCGAATAAATTCCTTAGTACTCTGCTTTTGTTCTTTCTTTTTTTTTTCATATATTTTTCCTGTTGCCACCTGTTTCTTTATTCTTTCGCAGGGGATATCACACGGTCCGTCGATCGTTAATCGACGCGATAAGAGTGTCGCTCGAACGATTTCGTAATTCGCGTTTTAATTAGGTACAATAAGTACAATTAGCAGCATGGTAAAGTACAGACATCTTACAGACAATAGTTTACTTTTATTTATTTTATTATATTTTTTCTTTTTATCTTCTTTTCAACGTCAAGTTTTTACGCTACACGTGTCTACTAAACGTTTCAGTCTCGCGTTAATTGAAACGACACCGATGGACAACGACGAACATCATGTTTCTTCTCGGCCTAACGTTACTTCTTTCCCCTTGTTATTTATACATATACAACAGATTTGTTCGTGTTAAAACATGAAAACAACCGCGTACAGGCTGGCGATGAAGGACGACGGTGAAAATGATAAGAGTAGATAAAAAACGATCTACTAAATTGGAAGACCAAGTAAACTCGTAACAAATCGCGTATTGCTCGCTTGGGATATGCACTCGATACACAATGAAATCGTTTACCGTCATCTTGATCTGCAAACGTAGTATTAACGATAGGACGTTCATCGACTTATCACGATCGAAAGTTTCGTTACGAACAGAGATATAACAGGAGCGTTTCTTTAGGGAGGCTAAGTCCAACCCTGTTACACTTACAGTCGATTGTGTATTTTTCTTGTCGCAGTCTTTACGTTAATCTCGAACGGACGTCTTAATCGTGTAGAAACGTTGTCCGACATACAACCGCGAGAAATGACCCGATTCGAAAAGTAGGACGAATGAAGTCTCTATTTCTGTTAGGATCATTTTCATTCAAACGAAAATGGCAGTCGATTAATTCGATCGATAACGTTCTCCGATTGCGTATCGAGGATATCGATCAAATCCTCGTCGCGTTTGGAGTATCGTGGTCGTAGGCTCGAACGAAATGGCAGTTTGAAGAACACATGGTCGAGTTCAATACATTTCTTCTAATAGGATACGATTCATGTTTTCCCATCGACGTAGGCCAGGAACACGAGCAGGGAACAGATACTCAGTGGCCTCTGACGAGCACATTCTCAGTGGCCATTGTAATTAACGAAAGACGGACCACGGTTCTTATTTTTTTTTTTCTTTTTTTTTTCAGTTTTCGTTTTTACATCGAGACAATTAAATTGGGGTTTCGTTTGTTTCGCAGGATCGTGGAGATTCCATCGTAGATTCTACATAATTCAATTATTTACACCGCGATTACGAAGTCACGGACGTTTCGTTGGCTGCTGTGGCCGCGATCGAGGTCGCATTCCGCCTCGCTTAGCTCAAACGCGTCGGAGAAGCCCGTGGGTGGGTCCAGCTTGGGGATGAACAAGTTCCCTGATCCGTCACGCTCCTGGTCCCGATTGGAACAGGAAGTGCTCGACTGGTGCTTGGAATTGCTAAACCCGGAGATTGGGCCGAAGTTGGAACGGGTCTCCTCGCTGGTATGACGCGCCAGCTGTAACATCCTGATCAAACATCCCTCGAATTATATAGTTCTTCTATCGTATGAAAATCATTCGGAAACGAAGAATTACTTACTTGGGTCTTCCCCTTCCAGGAAACGATTTTCTCTCAAAAATCGGTGAGGGTTCTGTAGACGTGCTAGATTCTGGTCCATGGTACAGGAAGTCTGCAAACAGAAATACAGAGGGGTCGATTTGCTTCGAAACAACGAAGCGAGCTAGTCGCGAAGCTTCTCTGTAAGCCTCTGCCGATTCCGTTCCAAAGTCTCGCGACGGCAACAAACAAGCGTGAAATACTCGATCACATGTTCGGTGCACTCTAACGAACGTAGACAGGCAACGGGGGAAACGGATGTCCGGTGGTACATATTGCGGTGCGTGGAAACGTCTCGCGACGCTCCTCCTCCTCCTCCTCCTTCTCTTTCTTTCCTTCGCTCGCACCGTCCCTTTGTGCGACAAGACATCAAAGGGAGGTCGTCGAGTAGGATCGAGGAGCGCGGCGATAGACAGGGATCAAACGAATCATCGTACAGATAAGATAGAGGACGAGAAGATGGCGTTGAAATGCGAATAGAGAAGGATGAAAAGATTGCATACTGTGGACACGCGAGTCGGCCGCAGACACCGAGTGGTGCGAATCGACGAGGTGATTGGAAGACTCGGTTCGGCTGCTGGTCCCGACTTCCGTGTCGCTATCCGAGCCCAGGGTGTCGTATTCCTCCGACTCGGACTTGCCCTGACTGACCTTGTGCGTTTTGTGCAACGGCGCAGAGGACGAACGGCCTCCGCGCACCTTAGTGTACCGGTTGCAATCCGACTGCAATCAGACGGAATTGGTTCGATGAATTGGCACATCGCACGAGGAAACGAGGAGACGCGCTACACCGATCATATTTCATTTCTCAACGTTCAACGATCACTCATCAACTATAACAGTTCCTATTAATGGCGTGTAGCAGTAGCGGCTAGACTAGAGACTTTAGATCAGAGACATCGATCCTCACGTTTCGTGATGCCGACGAGGATTGATCAAACTTGAACGAGACTTCTTCTCTTAACTATAACGATTGCTCTGAGACGTGAAATTTACCTGGAGACGTTTCAGAATATACCTCTCAGAGACTAAATCTTATCGTGTATAGACTCGCCTGGAGGCACGTCGCAATGTAAATCGGCTGCTGATCGAAAACTACCGTCTCATCTGAGACTTGATCTTGACATGTCTAAAGGCAAGTCCCATAATGTGTAGGATGTATATTTGATCAACCCTCGTATAAATCCTAACCAGAGCGGAGATTAGTAATCTTCCAAATCGTGCTTTTATAATATTTTCTTCGAATCACCTCTTAGAAAATTTCGTTAAATATTAGATATCGAATGGCAGTGATCTACAAAATCACGGTCCACACTATTGTTTCTTCTCTATAAATCGATTCGATGTAACAGTACGCTTCTTATTCTACAGCTAGTCGAGCTATGACAAGAGAGTTTGGCGAGAGATGTGTAGAATGGCGAATATATATATATATATAATACAATGTAAAGAAGTATCGTTTGCATCGGTGTTGCGGTTCCTCGATGGACTTGATCAGGACAGATGCGAAACGAAGCAAGGTGGGACCAGCAGTCACAATGATCGATTCTCTATAATGATGCACATCTGTTCTACTCGTTTCGCGCGTTTCTACTCAATTCATCGCGAAACTTTCGTCGCCACCTGCGACGGCACTCGTAGTCGACGTTCCGGCGTCTTCTTTCCCGGTTGTTTCGCGGAAAAAAAATTCATTTATGTACAAACAATTCTCGTGCCAGACAATTTGTAAACAGCCCCGATGTGCAGGCGGATGTGCACGCGCGATACACTGCGATTAGGATTGTGCTTAACGCGATTGGAGCAGAAACTGATGCGACATGCTGAAGCGGAATTTTTACGTTTTTCCTTCGATCGTTTGTTACACATATCTTTCCTTATTATCGATGATTATCTATTTTCAGCGTGATGGAAATGTACAGTGACGATGGCGGGAAGTAAGCAAAGCTTTTCGAGGTTTGTGATGATTTTTTTGGAAAAGAGATAAGAGTTCGTATATATTCTTGAAAATTTTGAAATTCTCTTCTGATTGTCAGTCTTGTAATGTTTTATGATCATACGATCGTTATGTAATCGAGAATTTTTATTTTTAGCCTAATCAAAATACGTCGCGCTGGAAACGTACGAACTTTTATCTGAAATAATTCCACTTAGTGAATACGAGATCGAAGGAAGATGCATGCTGTGTGCGCAAGTGTGTTTTCCCATTGGCTCGATGCTCGGTGAACAGACACGAAAGGCGAACGGTGGAAAGCGATGGTGAAATGACAAAAGCAAACTGAACGGCAGACGATACCTCTCGTAATTGAAGAGTGTCGGCGGTGGACAAACGAGGATCGTGATAGACGAACGTCTGAAGAGGCGCCGCAGAATTACATCGGCTATCACCTCCTGGTGGGACACTTTCCTCCAGCTGGAACGTCGCGTACGGATAGATCTCCTCCGAGTATTCTGCAACCATTTCCCAATACGTTTTCCTTCCTGCGTTTCAACGCTCGATCATTTTGTCCCTTTAGAAAACTAAAAAAGCTGACCGTGTAACAATTTCAATACCAGGTGCAATCGTTTACATTGCACTAGTAGAGGTGTTAAAAGCATATTTGATTTTTCCTCAACCTCCGGCATAAACGTATAAATATTGAAACGAAACGTCAAAGTTATTCAATCGCGGTGAACAAAAAATTGTTGTTTCATACCGCGTCAATTAACAGGAGGAATAAGAAGCGATTTTTTCTCGAATATTTCTTTAATTTTCCGAATAACGCAAATGAAGAAATTAAATAAGCTTCTCTGTTTACCTGGAATTTTTTCCAAGGTAGCCATCTCGTGTATAGGCGAGCGAAGCGGTTTGCGCACAGTCGCGTAATACTGCTCGCGTTGCTCCATGTTTTGCTTATTGTCTAACGCTGCTGCTGTCTGGGCGTCGTGAAGACTCGCCATTTCCCCTATAAACGGACCTACGGTCATCGTCATCAAACGTTACCGGTAACGCGAAACGAGAAGGTTTCGGTCTATTTGAATATGTATGTCTCGGCGAGGCTACTACTAACGTTTCCGGAAACAGTAAAACACAGCACCAGCTGCGGCAATGAACGCCAAGGAGCTCAGTATCAGCGGGATGATCAGCTTCAGATCCGAATAGACGGATGTGTGCTGAGGAATGTAGTGATCGATCTCGACGGCTGGCACTGTGCTGCTGGTGTGCGGCTGCAGGGTCGTTATTCTATATTCGGCGACCGAGAAACCCGCGTTATTGTGCGCCCTTATCCGGATGTCGTAGGTCGTTCCCGGTTGTAGCTCACTGAGCGTGTATGTCTTTTGTACCTGAACAACGAATGCTCGAGCTATTACTGTAAAAAACGAGAGGATCGACGTTGCTCGAGGTCGATCTCTATTCCCATCGTGAGTAGTTATCGACCGGTTAAAGGGGCATTCTCACTTGAAAAAATAAGGAAACGAATTTCTTTTAAATTCAAGTACCTCGATGTTATTCGACACCAACGTCCAAATGTCTTCACCATTCTTCCTGTATTCCAACTCGAAATAGGTGATCGGACATCCGCCATCGTTCCACGTGCTCAGATGAAGGGTGATCCACGAAACGTTCACCGTCACGAATTTATCGCCATTGCTCGGCGAGTCTTCCGGTTTCGAGCCTTTCGTTGTCGCCTTCACGATCTCGCTAGGGGAACCCATACCGATACGATTGTACGCCGTCAGATACATCTGGTAATCGTTGCCACACCATAACCGTGACAGGACGAAACTGTTGATCTTATGGGATACTTTCACCTCCTCCCATTCGCCAGATTCTCGTTTGTAATGAAGAATGTAACCCCTGATCGGAGCACCACCATCGTCGCCGTTCTTCCATTGGACATTGATCGAATTACTGGTCGCGCTTGTAGCGTGAAGAAAGGGAGCTGCCGGAGGAACTGCAAAATCATTACAACAAAGTTATTATTTTTATAATTTCTCTTCGGAAATATAATTCTCTATCGATCGTACCTTGCACGGTTAAACGATGCGTGATCTGATCGTAGCCATGACGGTTTTTTACGTAACAAGTGTAATTTCCGCTGTCCTCCCTATGGAGGTCCATGATCTGCAGCGAGCCTTCTGGTAACAAGGACACCCTGCTCGACGGTTTCACTATCTGACTCCATTGTTTCCATGTCACCGACGGCTCTGGGTTGCCAACGCTTTGACACGGTAATGTCACGTTCTGTTTCCATGGAACAACCAGCACCGTGCCGAACGAATATATCGCTGCGCGAACTGTAACGATTGCGTTATATCATCAGTATCGTTGCCTTTGCAACAGAGGAAAGCTTACATTCGAATCTGGATTATCCTTACAGCTACGGATGAACGCTATCAAGCTATATCTCGCAGTATAGAAACCTTTCTAAACTTTACCTTCGTTAGCATAACGAAGGAATACCGAAAGCATGTTTTACGCGAGACAAGGAAGACGATATCAAGGTAGCCATAAACTTGAACCCAGAAACTTTTTGAAACAAATCCTCACCATCGCTGGAAGGTGATATCGTGATGGGTTGAGTCTGAGGACCCTCGCCCACCGAGGTTTTCGCCGCGATGCTAAACTCGTACTGATTCTTCTTGTGCAATTTCTCCACCAGATAGCTGGTCTGATGAGGCGGAAGTGGCCGAGTGTCCCATTTTCCCTCCGGGCCGAGCCAACGGATATGAACGTTGTACGAGGTGATGTTGCCGTTGCTTCTGAGCGGTGGCTGCCACGAGACGATAATTGATGTCGCGGACCTGACGACCGCCTTCACGCCGGCCGGCATCTCGGGTAGATCTTCTTCGGTGACGCAGTACAAAGGCGAAGAGGCGATGCCGTCACCGGCCCTGGTCGACGCCAACACTTGGACAGAATAATTCGTGTACTTCTCGAGGCCGTGAATCACGACGGTCAAGGCACTGGTGATCTTCATTTCCGACTTCGGGGACTCGGTCAGAGCGTCCACGTTCTCCCATATGACCTTGTAGCCTTTTAGGATCCCGTTTAGACTGGACTCGGGAGGCGAGTCCCAGGAGATCTGCAGTGATTGCGAGGACAGCGCCGTACACCGTATATCCTGCGGCGGACTGCTCGGCACTGAGGACGTTTCAACGGTGTCGGGAATCAATTATGTCGAGCTATGTCAGATTTAATTAGTACTCTATTGACTTAGAACGCGTATACGCTACTGGACAAAAGTACGAGACCACCATGGTTGATTTAGTACCTTGCAGAAAATAATTCCTTCCCGCGGCAGTGAACATTAATTGGGTTTTCTTTGTAGGATTTCAATTTTACGAAAGTTTTAATTGAACTTTACTTTAATTGAACGATAACCAACAGTGAAAGGTGTTTTAACTGAAATTTCGAGACTGTTTTAAAATCCAACCAGAGATTCAAATTGCGAACAGGTTGAACAGTGAGTCGGTTTATTTGTGTTAAGAACCACGAGATGTCCGTAAGGAACGGGCCGCTGGCTGGTGGAAGTTGCAGCCGCAGAGAGCACTTCGGAGTTTAACCGGGCCGCATTCGCGATGCCTGGATTAAAGAACTTATTTGCAAGCAGATCAGTTCCAGCCTGTCGGTTCGCCGACTCCTGAATTTATTATTTATTCGAGACTCGACCGGATATACAGAGGTTCGTATTCATGGCGGAATTTATGATAGCCCTGCGAGCCTCGAGTATTATTCTCTTTATGAATTTTTTAAACGACGTTAAAACGTGTTTGTCCAATTCGTTCCAACCAATTCCACAAATCTTCAACTTTTGTCTTTCAGCAAATATATTAAGAATTTTTGTGTTTCATGAATATTACATGAGAATACAAAATTCATAGGAGTTATCTTTATTTAGAGAATCAAGCTTGATGTTTTTCTTACCATCCTCAAGGGTGGTCGCAACCACTTCCGGCGTCATGGGACCTTGACCGAGCGCGTTGTACGCTTGCACCACCACGCTGTACCTTGTAAACTTCTTCAAGTTCATCAACTGATATTGTCTACCGGGCATCGACGTCCTGGCTAGACCCAACGCGACACTGGCCGTCGAAATTCGCCTTTCGACAGTCCTATACGTGTACTGATCTGCTGTCAACCTAGACATTTAATTAAATCTTTATAAGAATCTAAAAATGAATTTTGTATATGCTGGACCGTAAGCCGTGTTCAAAAGTGCAAAGGTTATTTCTCTACTGTGTACTAGCTTTTTGAAAAATATTTTGCTGTTACTATTTCGCCAACGAATGCGAATTCCTGTTATTTATCACGATTCAGAAAAGTATAGAGTATCAGCGTGTTATTCGAGAATGCCGCACACGGCTGCAATTTGGAATGCGATCGTGGCATAGGAAACGTATTCGTGAGGTATCGATAGAAGGTCGTTAAAATGTGCCCGTTCCCTTGGATCGTTACCGATGTTCTTTGTAGCCGACGTGATAGCCGAGTATCTCTCCGTTCCATAAATCATGATCAGGTGGATCCCAGGTGACGTTAAACTCGGTCGAGCTGACAGGATCCACCTTGAGATTTCTCGGCGGTCCACCCGGTTTCTCTCCCTCTGTCGTCGTTTCCAAAATCTGGAAAAGGGACGGATCCCAAGATACGACGTGAGATTAAATTTTTACGTCTATCCTTTATTTTTTCCTACTTTTATGGTTCGGGAAACGTGAACTGTATGAAATATCGTATAATTTTTTATCGCTATAGCGATTCAACGAGCAAGAAAATTGAGGTCCGACGCATCATGGGGTCGTTCGAACGCTTTGAAACGGAGCCTCCAAGTATGAAACGACTTTCGAATCGTCGGTTTGTCGGTGTGAAAAATATTTGCTCCAGTTTCCGCGATACTTACGTCGCTCGCCTGACTTCGGCCCAGTTCGTTCTCCGCGTAAATTCGGAACTGATAAGAAACCGCCGGACGCAAACCGTTCACGTGCGCGTGTGCTTGTGTTCCCGGCACTGCCGTGTGAAACGTATGATCGTGCCACACTTCTGCAACATAAATCGCCTGGATCAGTGCGAAGAAATAGGCTCTAGGTACCTGTTGAGTCTCTGAAGCAGCGTGCTTTCAAATAAAAGATGCTACGCTCACAGTGGTATAGAATTAAATTGATACTTCTTATACAGGGGATTATTTATAAAATTATACTTATTTTAGAGATTTTATATGTAGAATAGATAAAAATAAGAGTAGGGTATACGGGGTGCATGCAGTTCCATGCAGTACATGGAATGTGAGGTTTGGGTGCACAATAAATGACGTGATTTATAATAATTTTGTAATAATTTTAATACTGAATAATCTGTAATCGAGTAAAACTATTGTAATTTTTTAAAAAACTTCATTTATATTTAGTTTTTATATGAACACAGTTATTTTATTATTATTACAATTTAGTTAATAAATATTTTGATATAGAAAGAAAAGGTTGTGCTACTATCGACCTCATACTCCGTAGTATAGGATGGCTGTAATATGTACTTTCTCCGGTCTTGGTTCCTTATTAATTACTTATTGTTAGTTATTTGTTAAAAAATGAAACTACTGTGACTGAATAATGTCAAATAATTATGAAATATTTTGGCATAAACATTTTTCTTGTAAAGGTAATAATTTTTGCGTAATTATAGTCCGAAGTCAAATTGTTACTTTCGATCCCTGTCTCCCCTGCCAGAAGAGGGGAGCGTCAATTGTCAATCTCCCATGTAAATTGAATTTTCTCAAAAATTATCAACCGACGATCTAGATATACTTGCCAGTATCAGTTTTGTATTCGATGATGTACTGCGTTATCGGGCTATTCCCGTCCTGGCTGGTGGTCCAGCTGATGTTGATGTAGCGGCTCCCCTTCTCGATCACGTGAAGATTTCGCGGGAAATCCGGCGGTTCTGTACAGTTTCCGGCAACAAAATAGCTTTCGTTAGTCGCATCATGATCCCCGATGAAACGTCTGTCGCAGTGTCGTTGCGCAACACGAAGCGTTCGACCGAAACGTATTTCATTTTGCGGTCTGGCTAAGCCGCCGTGTGGTTATCTCGTCTGTCGTGGGTACACACTCGGTACTTGGGCGAAAACGCATTAAATTAAATGGACGAGTCGCCAGGCGACGGTACACATTACGATAATTACGCGTACCGCGACAACGTTATATGCAAATACCAAGAGTGTTCTTGGAAACATTATCGAAATTGTTTCATCGTAAGTGGTTGATGCATTACGCCGATAACGTCCTTATCGGGAATTATACGAGGCGTCAAAATGAAAAATTTTAATCGGAATCTTCGATTTTTAGGTAACAATAGATGAAATGTGGAATCACGTGTTGATTTCTATCAAAAACAAATGATCTGAATAACCTATTCCATTAAAAGCAACAAAAGTTTTCTTAGTAAAGGACCAATTAAAAAAATACCTACTGTAGATGTAGATCGTATTCGTGCACCAATAAATCTGGCACAATGAAAAATTAACGTTTATTAATTTTGCTGCACAAATTCAACTTCGTTCGTGCATAACTTTGAATTTAATTAATTGAATTCTTAGAAAAATTGCAGCACGTATGAAATTACGGAAGTTCTACAAAGCATTAATTAAACTGTTTGTATCTTTCTGCTGTTGTAATAATAATACTCAAATAATAATTTCAGTGAATTGCAAATTATTTTTTAAACGCCATTTACGTGTGTTCCAAGAATCCCAGGAATTCCTCGATTTTTCCTCGATTTTTCCTCGCGAGTCTGATTTATTCGAGTCGTTACGCCGATACCGAGGATGTCGTAAATAATTCGTTGCCAAGGTGAGATCCTTGCGATTGTTTTATATGCACGGTTCACCGGAAACTTGTACGATAAATTCGTTTCCCATTACCTTGTATGTACAAATGGATCGTCATCTCATCGCGGCCGTAAGCGTTCGAGGCGATGCAAAAATATCTTCCGCTGTCCTCTCGGCTGGTGCTGATGAATTCAAGGGTGCTGATGCTACCGTCGGTGGTGTTTTCTTCCTTGAGCGTGTACCGATAGTCGGACAGCTTCTGTTCCAAGTGCGAACCCGCCTTTTTCCATAGTATTTTTAAGGGATGATCGCCTTTCGCCTCGCAACGCAGCGACGCGCTCGAGCCGAGTCTAGCTGTTTGGTTACGATGTTTCTCCACGAAGTGGGCTGGCACTGTGTCGAATAATCATCGAGTATGATTAACGAATTCGTTTGAATATGTCATCAAAGACCTCTTACCGTTCACCGTCAGATGTACAACTTTGCTAAGTCCAGCGCCGATTCCGTTCACCGCCTCGCACAAATAAAACCCTTCGTGGTCCTCTTGAACTCTACCGAACACCAGTGACCCGTTCGAATGTATCCTCAGGTCCTGCGTGTGTTCGTGTATGACAATGTCGCGATAATCACCGGGTTTCTTGCCGCTAGCACGACGCCACGAGACTGCCGGGGGCGGAAATCCGTCCGCGTGGCAGTGAAGGACCAGTCGTGACATTCCTTCTGAAGCGCGGACATCTTGGGGCTCCATCACCCAACGGGGTGGCACTATTTCGTACAACACCGGTCGTTAGTCAGCCTGAAGTTCGCGACTTTAACGCAACGAGCACGGTGGCATTTGAAATTTCATTGTTCCTCATCCTCCTCCCATTTCACTTGCAAATCTCGTCGACTTTTAATGGATCCTCGCTCGAGTCGAGCTTCTCTTCCCTCTTTTACCAGCAATTATCGCGGTCGAGCTTGTTAGTTTGTAAAATTTCTGCCTAGTCGTCGCGATCGAAAAAATGAAAAAAACGACCAGGTAAAAGCTCGAACGAAAACCGAAGGGATGACTTTTACGGGGAGGAGGAGCGTCTCAAATGCCATCGAGTTCGCGTCGTAAGCTTATTGCGCCGAGGCAAGAGCGAACTTCTCGAATTGGCCTACTGCAACTTCCTACTTCAGCGCAAAGTGAAACAAAAGACGTAATTTAAAGGGTGCACGAGCGATCGACGAGGGAAAATCAAGGTGGAGAGAGAAAAAAATTACGCCAAGGTACGTTCGTCGATCGTACCGAATTCTTCTGTTCTTTTTACCCTCGTCGATCGCGCGGAAGGCAAGACAGGAGTAGATTAGGAGACGTGAAAAGGTATACGAGACTTCGAAATTCAGAGAAAAGGGAAGGAGAGAAAGTTAGAGAACGAACAGTGCGAAACTCGAGAATTTTCCTCGCGGTCCGTGACAGAAGTGGTCTAAAATAACTGTGAACATCGTGGACAATCACAGTGAACTAGAACAATGCAGAAATCAGTGCTGTGCGGACATTTTGACTCAAGAACAATGCGGTGATTGTGCATTTGCGTACATACACGTGAGAACAGTGGAGAAGGCCTTTTGTGTCTTAATCAAATATTTGTGCTGCTCAATTATTTGCGATCAATTATTAGAATGAATACACGTGGCAAATAATTTATGGGTATCTCTATGATGTATCGACAGAAAGGAAATCAATGTATATCATTCGATCCATTGAATTATTCGCCACGCGACATCGAATAAAGTGCAATACATAATCGTCGGCTAAGTGATCGCTTGGATACCGGAATAATTTCCAGGGAGACGATAAGGGTGGTGTGTGCCAAGTGTTCCATAAACGAAATAATCGAACGAAAAACGAAGGGCAAGACTGAACGTAACGAACATAAAATTAACAGAACGTGTGTGTGCATATATGCGTGTGCTGATTAAGTAATATTCGAGCGGAGACTCGGTGCTTCAAGTTTGAACTTCGAGGCTGCTGCTGGTACTCGCGCTAAATTCAAGATGTAGTGGTGCTACGCCGAAGCCGAATTTCGCAAAAGTGGCTGGTGCCCTTTCATGCAGAATCCCTTTCCTTCGACGAGTACCGGGATCGTTGTTTCCACCTCGTCGAACCATCAATACGCCCCCGCACATATGACGTGCCACTTACCGAAATTCCCGTTCATTTAGAAAGACAGGGTGGAGTTTAGGATCGCGGTACATCGTCGAGCTCGAAAACAGGGAGAAGTGCGATTTCATAGATAGTGCGCCTGTGAAATACACAACTAGACATAGTACGTATAACCGTGATAATAGTGATAACGCTATCATATTGTGCGGTGCTCAAGTGCGTTGGTGCGTCGCTTTGCTGGCTGGGCGGCTGCTGCTGCTAATAATAATTCGGATCGTTTCTGATACCGAATCTAGAGCTGCGTTTTTCCATTCGATTTGTCTTTCGCTCGATTTCGACTCGTTCGTACGCGAAACGAACCTTCGATCGTGAAATTGAAATATCGTTTCGATTCTCCCATTGTCGCTTTGTCCCCTATTACTATCACCGCTTTGCGAACTACTTGACGTAACAAGTTGCCGTGGAATGATAAAAAAAAAAAAGAAGAAAAATAAGATAAAAAACGGTAACCGTGTCGATCGTTGTTACGCAATGACGATCGATCGATCGTATTTCTGTTGTGTAAGATAAGAACAAGTAACAGAGAGAACAAATGTATATCTCGCGAACGAAAGAATCCGCAGCCCTAGCTGACAATACGTCGCATGCTACTTCGAATAATTCGCGACTGCGATGTCTGCGGTTGCTGCGGCGGCTGCACGGCTGCGTTTACAAGTGATTACACAATACCAATGATAACAATAACCATAGAGAATATAAATTTGCACGGACTGGTTCGCTGGAAATCGAGCGTATAATCGTTCACCTTGATGTTAACGGCGTGGAATTCTTCTTCTCGTTTGTATGGAATTAGAAACACTTTAAAAATACATTCCATTATTCAATGACAATTATTGAATCGTTTTGGTATCGAAAGCGTATCCAACGAACCACTCCGTGCATAGTAAAACTTCGATAAGATAAAATGGCCACTCTGGAAGTTCTGAGAATTTCAACGAAGCTTTAATGAATAAACGATCATTGTGCATAAAGATTGTCAGAACTTTTAGCGTGAGCCAGATGTATGACATATAAAAGGTGCGCTGCGGTGCAATATAAAGAAAGAGTGATGGTGAACGGCATTGAAGAAGAATAACGCCGATGAACGAGTCCGTCGACGAGCTTTCGTTCGTCAACATTCAAGCTCGGCTGTCTTTGATGGTCTACTTTACCGCGAACGATCAATTCGGCCGTCCAGAGGACCTCGGCCACCGAATTGCGCGCCAGGCAAGTATAGTTGCCGGTGTGAGCGGCGTTGACGCGTTCGATAACTATCGTACTGGAATGGGCGTCAATGTTGGTTACGCGTAGCCCGGCGGGTGTCTGTAGCCGGCTGTTCCCGTAGCCGGCTGAACTGGGCCCGGCGATCGGCTCGCCGTCCTTGGACCAGGCGATCGTGAACGGAGGATCGCCCTTCTCGACCATGCAAGTTACTTGGGCACGCACGCCCTCCGATAGATCCTTGTTAAAGCTAAAGGGAGCTATCGTAGGTGGAACTGCACAAAAAACAAAAAAGATCAAGCGATGAGCGTGTGTGATAGCTACGTGTCACTGTGCGTGTATACGCGTGTCTTCTTTTCTCCGCGATCCTCTTCCAGGAGCTACTGCCGTTGATTCCTGCTGAACGATCGATGCGCGTTTTAATGTATTGTGATCGCATTTTGATCCTTCAAGAAGGATATACTCGTTGAATTTGTCATTGAGCAATGATAACGAAAAAGAGTGATAATGGAAGATTAAAATCTTGTCTTCTTAGCAATATTGTAGAATTAATCTTTTACTAAGGTAACAGGTAACTAGGATCAAATTCGAGGAGCTTCGATCGCTAAAATAAGGGTTTCACTCGAGTCTTCTCTGCTTGCGAATATCTCCCTCCTCGTACTAGTTGTTCCACGGTAGTTCAGATTATCTTACGGATATGCCTGAAATATCTGCACTTGAGCGAACTTTAGCCATCGTGGTTGATAATTCAAGGTACAATATAACGATTAAACCACGCTTTTAACGACAATTTGCGAGCTTCCCGATGGAAACGAACAAAATCTCGCCGGGAATAAAATTGTAACGTTTATCGATGAAGGGATTTCGCGCGTTTAACGCGACTTCTCGTTTCGATACGATCTGTCGTGCTTTGAAGGATTATACCCTTCTAAGTCCATTAACTTTATTAAAGCTCGCCGAATCTGTCGTTCGTAAGTATCGGTTCCGACGTAACCCACGCATTACGCTGTCCGTAATGGACATCGGGATTAACGTAATGCGATAACATCGACGGTGCTTATCAACTCTGTTGCCGTGCGCGTCATTACGTGTACGCCATTACACGAATAGGATCGTATTAATATTGACGAAGTCATGAGTACCTCGACGTGGTTATCGTGCGAATAAATGGCGATACGTTGATGAAATAAAGCACCTATTTATGTTAGTTGAGGTTAATAAAAGGTAGATCGATCGTTGAAGCCGATCGGCGATTTCGTAGATATTGCCTGATTCATCGAACGATTTAACGAGTTCGCCATAATCGTTACATATACAAGCACAAATTTTTATTCGATATCCCGTAATTCTACTACGATGGATGCAGAATCATATTGATCGTGCTTCGTAAATAAAAACCGGAAAATGCAAACAAATTATTTATGAAGTTTACGTTACACGTACAACAAATAAAATTGTGTTTGAATACGTATACGCGTATATTTGCGTTTATTAAATAATATTTGAAACGTTCTACGCGATTCAATTTTCACACCCTTTTATTTGTACGTCAAAATGATCCTGCAACTGTCCCTCAGATATTGGACACCTGACGACTCC